ATGATTTAAAAAACATTGCCTGTTGGTGGACGTAGACTAGGGTTTTTGGAAATTTTCGGTTTAAATTCCAATTTTCAAATATCACCAAAAATGTCCATATTTCATTTTGGTGATTCTGGAAGAGCAGCAGGAATTTTTGATAAAAATTTTGCCGAAAATAACTTCTAATTAAAAAAAAATCTTTACAGAATTTTCAAGAGTGGCTGGAAAACGTAAAATATTTTGAAAAATCTAAAATTTTTACTTTCCGTAGAGTTGTCTAAAAATTCACAAAAATCGGTGATAGGTATCGACGAGCTAATTTGAAAAACATGGCCTGTTGATAACTCAAGACCAAAATTTTCGAAATTTTTGGTTTCGACATCAAAATTTTAAAATATGTTAAAAATAATTTCGAAAAAATGTTGCCGAAAATGACTTCTGTAAGTTGAATTAATCGAAATAATGTCGTTCGGTAATTTTCGAAAATGCTCCAATAAAGGTCAAAAGTTTCAAGGAGGGGAGGTGTTGAAAAGTTAAAGATTTTAGTGGTCTAAAAATCCAAAAAAAATCCTAAATATAGACATTGACGAGCTGATGGATGGTTCTAGCCCAAGATTTTCCAATTTTTCAGTTTCAATTTCAAATTTTTAAAATACAAATCCCAAAAATAAACATATTTCATTTTTGGTGATTCTGGAGAAGCAGTTGACATCGACATGTTTGGGTAATTTTGAAAAGTATTCGGAAAATGTTTAACAAATTGAAAATTTTCACTTTTGGCAAAGTTACCAAAAAATCCAGAAACTATCCTATAATATAGGTATCCACAAGTTGATTCGAAAAACACTGTCTGTTGATGACGCCAGACCAAGATTTTCCGAATTTTCGGTTTCGAAATCCCTGTTTGAAAATACATATCCCAAAAGTGGATATATTTCATTTTCGTGATTCTGAAAAATTGGTAAAAATGACTTCTACAAACAGAAATAAACAAAAAAATGTTACCCAATAATTTTCGAAAATGCTCCGAAAAAGGTCAAAAATTTCGGAATAAGGCGGGTACTGAAAAGGTGAATTATTAGTTGCCTAAAACTCCCCAAAAAATCCTAAATATAGACATTGACGAGCTGATAGATGGTTCCAGCCCAAGATTTTCCAAATTTTCAGTTTCAAATTCCAATTTTTAAAATACATATTTCAAAATTAACCATATTTCATTTTTGATGATTCTAGAGAAGCAGTTGACATCGACATATTTGGGCAATTTTGGAAAGTACTCGGAAAATATTCACAAATTTCAACAAATTGAAAATTTCCACTTTTGGCAACATTACCAAAAAATCCAGAAACTATTCTGTAATATAGGTATCCACGAGTTGATTCAAAAAACACGCCCTGTTGATGATGCCAGACCAAGATTTTCAAAATTTTCGGTTTCGAAATCCCTTTTTGAAAATACATATCCCAAAAATGGACATATTTCATTTTCGTGATTCTGAAAAGTTGATAAAAATGACTTCTGCAAACAGAAAGGAACAAAAAAATGTTGCGATAATTTTCGAAAATGCTCCGAAAAAGGTCAAAAATTTCGGAAGAGGGCGGGCTCTGGAAAGTTAAACTTTTACTTGCCTAAAAATCCACAAAAAATCCTAAATATAGACACTGACGAGCTGATAGATGGTTCTAGGCCAAAATTTTCCAAATTTTCAGTTTCAAATTCAAATTTTTAAAATACGTATCCCAAAAATAACCATATTTTATTTTTGGCGACTCTGGAAAAGTAACCAGAATTTTCGAAGATATGTTGCCGAAAACTTCTGCAGTTGACATTGACAAAAAAATATATTTGAGTAATTTTCGAAAGTGCTCGGAAAATGTTCAAAAACGTCAAAAAATTGAAAATTTTAACTTTTGGCAAAGTTTCCAAAAAATCTACAAGTATTCTTAAATATAGATAGGTATCGCTGAGTTGATTCGAAAAATATGGCTGATGATGCCAAAACAAGATTTTCAAAATTTTCGGTTTCGAAATCTCATTTTCAAAATATTCCGAAAATTGTCATATTTCATTTTTCTGATTCTGAAAAATTGGTAACAACAACTTCTGCAAACAGAAATAAACAAAAAAATGTTACTCCATAATTTTCGAAAATGCTCCGGAAAGATTTAAAATTTCGGAGGAGGGGGCAGGTACCGAAAAGGTGACTTTTTGTGGACTTTTAATTGCCTAAAAGTCCACAAAAAAATATTAAATATAACCAGTGACGAGCTGATTGATGGTTCTAGGCCAAATTTTTCGAAATTTTCGGTTTCGAATTAAAACTTTTAAAATACATATCCTAAAAATAGCCATGTTTCATTTTTGGTGATTCTGGAGAAATGGATGATATGTTGTCGAGAATGACATTAACAGTTGACATCGACAAAAAATATGGCCTGTTGATGATATCAAACCAATCATTTTGCTGATTTTAAAAAATTGGAGTTTTCAAAGAAATGTTCCGGAAAATGACTTCTGCAAATAGAAATAAACAAAAAATAGTTAAAAAACCACAGAAAAACACAAAAATCCTAAATTGACGAGCGGATTCCAAAAACCTCACCTGTTGATGGTTCTAGGCCAAAATTAATTACGCTTATTAGATAAATTAGTAAAGTTTAATAATTTACGTAGAAGGAAATATTTATTACGTATTATCCAGATTCCAACGTAAGTAATAAATAATTTACAATAATAAATGTACATTTATTAGGATTATAAGTGAAAATTTATGTGACGGGGGACGGAAGTTTAAACGCCGAAAGAAGCGCGCGAATTAAATTCGTACGGGTCACATTAACCCATATTTTATTTTCAAACGATTATAACTCGGAAAATGCAAAATTTCCCTCTTGTATTAAAAAAAAAATGGTGTACACTGATTTACCGACTCCCCCTGTGTCAACTTATGAAGTCTCTGTGGGCGAAAATCACGCTGAAATAAACAACACCATCATTTTGATCGTTGTTCCCGGTTTGTTCAAACAATCGCTATCAAGATTATTTGTAAATTATGGCTAATGAAGATGATATCGAACTGTCACCCATACAGTAACAAGAGCAGCATGAACGGAAATAGAGCAACTAGTGCCACTGAAATCCGCATCTACGAACCTTCTTATCGGGATTTTTGCACTATTGGGAAAGATACAATTTAAAAAAAAAGTACAAAGCTTAAGGTGAACTAAAATCTTTAGTTTAATCTACTGAAAACGACACTTTCCAGTGGCACTTAACGCTATTATATTTAATTAGAAAACATAATTAAAATTTGTAACAACTGATTGAACGATTTTCCTTGAAGGTCTTTCCAGTGTTATCGCTATGAAGTGTACACAGTGTTGCCCTGGAACGTCATGTAAAAATTGCACCCTTTAGTGTACATACATAATCTTAGACAAGAGCAATTTTCACAACAATGGCCTGTCCTTATAGAAAATGTTACCACAGGGCTTCAATATATTAGTCTACTTATGCTCCAGACCTAACACAACACAATACGAAACTATTGTTTAGTTTGAAGAGAAAATTCTCTGTACACCAGTTCGACTAAATATTTTAGCACAATTTTTCGCTTCATTTCCGACTTACGAGTACCAAAACAAATCCTGAATAAACCTTTCATGAACCTCTTCAATTACCAATACAAACTTCCACTCAAAATCAAGAATATGTCTGTTGGAGGCTGACATTTCCGAACTTAAAAAGAGAGGATAACAGGAATGCTAGAATCGCTGAAGTAAAGTAATTGCAGAGTTGCTCATTCAGCTTTCGGTGAAGCGTTTTTCAAACCTGTAAATACGGGTTCTTGAAACGTATGGGACATACACTTTTTCGTTTGCATTTCCACAATCAATCTAATTCGGAAATGTCTTTCCACTATTTTTGTCCGAAATTAGCGTTTTCTTGTAGATTGTGTGAAATGAGGCGTTCAATGAAATGGTGGTTTTACTGATAATGTGATATTCGTTGTGTTTACATGCACAGGTGTTCCATCTATCGATCGATCAAATTACTTCAACTGTACTTGTATAGGACACAAATTGGGCAATAAAGCGTCCATAAAATAACATCTAGTTAAGCGCTTTGGGTTTTAACGGAAATGAAAGCAAATATTATTTTTTTAACAAGATCATATTTAGCTCTCTAAACTACAACTAAGGAGAATTCCATTTTAAAATAGTTTTCAACAATACTCATTTAATATCAATTTAAAAAATCGCCCCGACAAACAACTGCAATTGCAGTTATGAAGTTTAGATGTTTAATAGACGTTTTAATAAATTATGCAGTGGCATAAGTTGTTTCCTCCACTGATAATAATTTTGAAATATGGTGCTACATAATTAAGGTGAAACACGCTATACATAAATGAATGTTTTCCGTTGGAGTAACTTTTACTCAACGGAAAATGTACTAATTAATAATATCATAATAATAATAATAATAATAATAATAATAATAATAATTTATTGTACTCAACAGAGATTAATCTCCAATTACAGAATACAAAACAAAAGTAAATAGTAGTCTATCTTACAAATAAATAATTAAATACAACGTATGCCTGCAAAATATATCTAAACATCAAGAAAAAAAAAAAAAATAGAACAGTAAGGATAGCTCATTATAAAAAAGAGTAGAACAAAATTCTGACGCTCTGTAATTATGTGTTATGCTGTAAATGTATGGATTTCGATTGAAAAAACTTCCTTACCGCTACACCCTTGGGCCAAAAAGATGCAGCCAGAATATCATTTTGATATACAAAATCGATAGTAAGTTTGAAAGAACTATATAACTCAGGAAATTTAGAGTCCAATTTAATAAGCTTAAAGTCAGGAAGACGTTTATTTTTCAGCACTTCTTCATGGGATTTTAACTTAAATTTGATATAATCAGTAATCTTGTTCACATCAACATTAGGGTTTACTCTTGTAATATGTATATGACTGCTTTTTTTTCTGGTGACAGCTACGAAATCATGATCACTCGATGACAAATCTGACGAACCTGAACTAGAAGCTATATCTGCTGAGCCAATAATTAACTTACTTACTTTCGGCCGACGTTTTAAAGTATCACCTGTTACCTCCTTCTCAGAAGGATTTTTACCATTGTCTGAAGAATTATTTAGATCAACTTCATTACATGAATTCGTATTAGGATAAATAATAGTGTTCCGTATTTCAGGTTCACTTTTGTTTACCACTTTTCTTGCTTCCACACCACTCACGTTTTTATTCATAATCTTACTCGAAAAAGCGTCCATTGATGATAAACTACAATCAGTGGAGCCTCCCAAGTTGTACGAACTTTTTATCAAAATGTCTATCATCTCACTTTGCGTTTTTACACGATCCCTTAGCTCCTTTATAATTTCGTCTTTTTGTTTAATAATATAATTGAAAACAGCAATATCAACCTTTTTCTCAGGTCCACTCATTTGTTCCATTGCTTCAAAAAACTCAGAATCTTCGCACACAACAGGAGGCATTTTCACTTTATCACAGCAAACTAAAGACTTACTGTCCAAAATTTTTACATAAGATACACCCTTGGCACAACTAAGGTGGTACACATTATCACACGATATACATTTTAATGCACTGACAACTTTTGATTTACATTTTCTGCAGATTTGTGCAGACGTACCAGACTGACTACTACTATTGGCATCCATCTTGGCTATTAATGTAGTAAGAACAGTAGCCTAATAAAAAACTACGATATCCATGTTTATACCGTAACTTCGTTATTTATATTATTAATGTTCCATTAATGTACCTTTCGTTCCACTAGCGTTGGAAACTGAGCTCATTTAAAAATCAACCGCCAGTTTTAACATTTCAATTATACTAAAACTAGTAAATGTTCGATAAATATCGAATAACAAAAAAAGTTTGCTTTCGAAATAGAAATAATTAAAATTTAATTAAAGCCAGTGATTGTGCAAAATGAGCTAAATCTGTTGTTAATGGAGCTGCTAATTAATCAATATTTGTAAAATACATATTGATTTTTGGATAACTGCTTAGAATCAGGACACTCCGCTAGTTCGAGGGCACTGGCGGTACGAATTCAGGCTAAGGTAAATGGCGCAATTCCTTTTAAAACGAGCGGATCACACAGAGAACCGCAATTCAACTGCACTCGTGACGAGAACACTACCCCCAGAAGAATTGGCGCCCAACACGAAAAAATTTAGTTTCAATTTAAAATTACATCTTTGCTTTACCTATTTTGTCATCATTATAAAGACATTTTGTTCATGTAACATTTTAACTGTGTTCAATATAACGAAAACTAGCACATTTTAGCAATTTAAAATGTTATTTTAAATAGTAGTAGGAATTTGAATAATATTCCGATTAACGTCTAAATAGAGTTAAATTTTAGTACTTAGTTAATTATTAGCATTTTAGTTAAATAAAATGTGTTACATACACCAAATTATTACTAATTTTTTTGAGTATTGTATATAAAGTAAATCACTAAGCGCGAGTTCCTTGAAATCTCATTAATTATTAGAAATGGAGAAAAAAGTCAAAGGTCAAAGTTGTACGATTCTTTGGGGACTATACTCTAAAATTATTAAAAATTAAATTTAAAATTAAATGTGATAACTAGACAAAATCTTGTGTTCACCATTTACCTCCTATGTGTTTTTTGTCACAAAATTTTCGCCCTCTTTCTTAATTATTTCTTTTAATAAAATCTCTGCATCTCCACAGTTTTTATGGAAAAAATTGAAATTTGCTCATATTAGCCGGAAAGAGCTCTATCTTATCGGAAAATTACATCTGCTAATTGTTATAGTATTTTTTCAAATAACTGAGAAAAAATTACCACCTGCCTAAAATTTTAAAATACATACACGAATCGTTTTGAGAAAATGTCTTTAATTTTAATTATTGTGCTGCCAAAATCAAGAAAAGTATGATTTTGTAAAAATGGCCCATGTGATATAAAAGTTAATTCTTAAACCAATTAAATTTTAAGAAATTATTATCCCGGCGCCTCCACCATTTTTATCGGAAATTTACAATTATATAAATTCGTTAAAAAAGAACTCTACCTAGGCGAAAATTTTCTTGAAATGAAGAATGTTCGCATATTTTTGTTGTATTTTTCCAGATTACAAACAAAAAAATATTTCTGTGCGAAAAATCAAAGATGTCCAAATTGCTTTGAACTGCTCTTATTTCAAATCTGAATCAGGATTTTGTTGTCTGCATTTAAAATTTGATTTACGTTCGTCTATATCTAATTAATTATTAGAAATAAAAAAAAAGTCAAAGACCAAAGTTGTACGGTTCTTTGGAGGCTATACACTAAAACTGTTAAAAATTAAATTTAAAATTAGATGTGATTCATAGACAAAACTTGTTTTTTAATTTTAATATTAAATAAGTTTTTGGTTTCCTTTTCTTGCTCTTTCTCCTCTTTACATGTAATGTTTCCTACTTCTCCCAGCAAATCTTCACGATATGTATGTTTGTTTTACTCATGTTTCCTTACGTCCAAACATTTACGCTTTTGGTTTTACCTTTAGGTATATCTCATCGCATTTTTGTTCTTTCATTTTTGCTCTGCTCACCATTTACCTGCTATGTGTTTTTGTTCACAACATTTCCGCCCTCTTTCTTAACTATTTTTTTAAATAAAATTCAGCACCTCCACAATCTCTATGGAAAAAATTGAAATTTACTCAAATTGGCCGGAAAGAACTCTGCATTATCGGAAAAGTACATCTGCTCGTTTTTATAGTACTTTTTCAAATAACTGAGCAAAAATTACCACTTTACGGAAGATTTAAATTACACGAATCGTTTTGAGAAAATGTCTTTAGTTGAATTATTCTGCTGGCTAATTCACGATGTACACAGAATAGTACGCTTTTTAAAAATCACCCATTTAATATAAAAGTTGATTCGTAATTCTTAAACTAAGTAAATTAAAAAAAATACATATTATCCCGGCGCCTCCACCATTTCTATCGAAAATTTACAACCATATAAATTGGCTAGAAAAAGACTATCTAGGCGGAAATTGTCTTGTAATCAAGAATGTTTGCATATTTTTATTGTATTTTTCCAGATTACAGAGAAAAAATATTTCTGTGCGAGAAATCAAAGTTGTCCAAATTAACATCTCACTAACAAACTTGTCCAAATTGCTTTTAACTGCTCTTATTTAAAATCTGAATCTGGGTTTTGTTGTCTGCATTTAAAATTTGATTTATGTTCCTCTATATCTAATTAATTATCAGAAATAAAAAAAAAAGTGAAAGACCGAAGTTGTACGGTTCTTTGAAGACTATACACTAAAATTGTTAAAAATTAAATTTAAAATTAGATGTGATTCATATACAAAACTTGATTTTTAATTTTAATATTTAAATGAGTTTTTTGGTTTCCTTTTCTTGCTCTTTCTCCTCTTTACATGTAATGTTTCCTACTTATCCCAGCTAATCTTCACGATTTGTATGTTTGTTCTACTCATGTTTCCTTGCGTCCAAACATTTACGCTTTTGGTTTTACCTTTAGGTATATCTCATTGCACTTTTATTCTTTCATTTTTCCTCTGCTCACCATTTACCTGCTATGTGTTTTTGTTCACAAAATTTCCACCCTCTTTCTCTTTTTTTTCTTTCTACCTATTTTGGGGTCGATTCTTCCATAGAACATTTGTTTTCCTTACATACATTCTGCGCAAAACCCTTTCTTCTGTGGCGGCACAATAACACGTTGGTAAACGGAGAAAGATAAGCGGCCTCGTTATCTAGTGGTCAGGATACCTGCCCGGCAAGCGGGTGGCGTGTGGTTCGATTTCCACCGAAGCAGCAACATTTTTCTTGACTTATCTACACTTCTTTTAACTTTTACTTCTTAATTCGCCTCAAATTGTTCTTCCAAAGTGCAAGTCAGATTATGTTAGCCAAGATCTGGTCAAATCAGAGCATGGAAATCCATTCGTTCGGGACTATTTTGAGATCTAATGGTGTGGCCACGTGAGGTTTTTATGCACCCCGTTCAAAAGACTCATTTTTCGATGTTGCGCCGGCGCGGTGCGGTTGTCACCAAAAATTCCTGCTCCCGGTACCTCGTTACATACTGCAACTGGTACTATCCACCACATTTTTTTCCTAAAACACTAGAAAATCGATTTTTTATCAGAAATTAATTTCTTATTTGATTCTTGACGACGAAATTTTAAGTAATTTTAGAGGCAAGTGTGGGTTCGAATTTTATCTGGATATTTCAAACAAAAATTCGAATTCTCCAAAATTGCAGATTCATAAATCAGATAACAGATATTATCGACAACTCGTCAAGTTCTTAGTAATTTTTAATAACAGTGAATGAATTTTGAAAATTAGAGTATAAGAGTCAAAAATCATACGATAACTAACTACAACCGAATAAAGCAAATTTGCTTAGCTGAGATTTTTTTTAAATTTAATCATAAGAACTATCACTCTAAATAAACAGATTGCATAAATGTACCTAAAGGAGGTTTGAACTTTCCTCTGCGGTAGGAATTCTTGAAGCATATGAAATTTAATTTACGTTTTCATTAATGTATACCCACTTTAATCACTGTTTACCCTTCAGATATTATTCAGTTCAATCCAACTCGAATCTGTAATTGCACTTTTTACTACAGGAAAATTTGCACAAAAATTAAGCCAATTAAACACTAATAATCTGGTTCGAATTTTATTTTGTCGTTTTCCGTATCCATTATTCAATTTTGCCTATCGTGATATTTGTTTTTACTACATCAATCCATGTTAATAAAATTGGGTCCGAAAAAATGGTGCAGTGGAATAAAGTCTCTTTTATTTAGTTTGAAATTTAAACATCGAAACTATGTTAAAAATAAAGGAACACCGAACTAGCCAATGTGTATTCTATCTCTATGGTTACATAAATGTTATATTCTAGACTTCCACCGCTCCAACCAGCGAATTTTCTAAAATTTTAAAAGGGTTATATTTTTCTGCAACCAGACGTGGCCCCTTAATTCTAATGATTTTGTTTGCGGGGTAAACGACCCTGCAGTTTGTTATAGTAATCGATGTTGGTGAACACACAATGGTATCCCGCAGTATATCTCCTCAGTCGTCGATTTACTCTCAAACTCCTTCGATTGAGATACAAATCCATTGCTTCATTGCACATATTTTTGCTGTTATGTGGTCGTTCTCTCCACTGCGGCCAGGCTCGGGTGTGCCATAAATCCAGTCAATATCGATTTCGCATTTCTAGCTTGCAGGTTAACTTGATATAA